AGTACTCGCGACCACTCCACATATTACACTTGATTTATAATTTTCTTCCACTATCACCCTTACCCGCATGCCCACCATCACCCCCACCCCTAGTCCAGCCCACATTATTGAAAAGTATTCATTTATGTGCAAAATTGAATTTTGTTAAAAAAATAAAAGTAAAGTAATGTTAGACCCGACCCGACCCGAGCATGCATTGCATAGCATTTTGACATTTATGGGATTAAGTTATATTGTGATATGAAGTTGGGAATAAAAGTAAAGCAATGTTAACTCACGGTTTTCTCCAAGATACACCATATCTTCTTGGTTTCTTTTACACGTTGAAGCATAGATCAGAAACTGCAATTAGGAATTTGGTTTGGTGGAAGATTCACCTTCAGACTGGTATAAAATTTAGTTTATTCACTTGAAAATGTCGTTAGGTTTGGAGAGGAGGATCGGTAAATATCTCTTTTTTACTTATTTCTTAAACTTGTATTTTTACACTCTTTAATGTCATGTTTTCACATCCAAACGTGGTTAATAGCTTCAAACTGTTCAAATTGCAAAAATTCATTACAAAATGGATAAAAAATTGTGTCTATTTGTCTACCCAAAAAATAGTGTGATTTTGTAGTTAAAACGGGTAATATGAGAAACTCAATAGTGAAATGGTTGAAGTGACATCAAACTCATAGGTTAAAATGCAAAGTATAATTACCCTCTAGAAAATGTGGAAGTGACCCTCATGAAATGTTGTCCTTGTTCATATGCATAGATTAGCTTCTGCATGCAAAAAAATAGATCCCTCTCGCCTTCTTAATCATTGGACTAACTCCAGATCCAACTCTAAGTCAAGTCATCCCTGTGACATAATGTCTTTCTCGAGCAAAAAAATTCCAATGATCCCGACAATTTGCTTGATAGAATTTTCATTACAAATAATATAGGAGGGACCATTGAAGCTTTGAATAACAAGTTTTTGTTACCATGCAGAGAAGATAAGGAAATTCGTATTTCCTTATCTTCTCTGCATTGTAACAAAAACTTGTTATTCAAAGCTTCAATGGTCCCTCCTATATTATTTGTAATGAAAATTCTATCAAGCAAATTGTCGGGATCATTGGAATTTTTTTGCTCGAGAAAGACATTTTGTCACAGGGATGACTTGACTTAGAGTTGGATCTGGAGTTATTCCAACGATTAAGAAGGCAAAAGGGACATATTTTTTTGCATGCAGAAGCTAATCTATGCATATGGACAAGAACAACATTTCATGAGGGTCACTTCCACATTTTTCAGAGTGTAATTATACTTTGCATTTTTTACCTAGAGTCTGATCTCACTTTCAACCATTTCAACAAAGAGTTTCTCATGTTACCCATCTTAACTACTTGTATTGGTTTAGTATTGTCCCAAAATTAGTAGATGTATGTTAGAGTAAGTGGAACAAAATCACACTATTTAGGTAGACAAAGAGACACAAATTTCTATCCATTTTTGTAATTAATTTTTGCAATTTTGGACAGTGTGAAGCTAATAACCATGCTCGGAGGTGAAGTATTTGAAACATGACATTACCCTTGTATAAAAATCGAATCTTGCATATAATAGTTTTGTTTGCGTTAATGTTTATTATTTTCGACTTTTTTTTTTATCGTCGATATTAAATTTTTTTCAGGCATTACAATGGAAAACTCTTCCAAAACGTCAAATATATGACCAAAAATTCTGATTTTTTACTGTTTGTTTAACATGATAATACTAGAAATTGTTAGAAACTAAATTCTTGGGTCCACAAAATTTTATAGTAACATGCAGTTCTTGTTTTCTGTAAATTGTGTAGGGAAATAATTTTTTTCTCAGAAAAGTTGAACAGACATATCTAGTTTCTCACTTTGTCCATGTTTCCTCTCACGTTGGTTATTATCTATTGGATATAAATCTCTCTAATATAGATAAGGGTAATATTGATATTTAAATAAATTTTCTTGTAACTTTCCTACTTTTCAAACTATAGAAAGAAAATTTTTAAATATTTTCTTGTACATATTTTATGCTAATCAAATAAATGAAAGAAAATATATTTTCTTTTCTTTTTTTTTTTCACTTTACTTTCTTCCACTTTCACTTTCTATCATTATTTTCTTTCTAATCAAACCAACCCTAAATGGGTAAAATTTTAGGTTGGAGGGCAATGTTATGTTATAAAAGGCTCTTGTTCAATAAACAAAGCTCTTAATAGATCAATTGTTTTGAGATCAAAATTATATTCCTCTTGCATAAAAAAAGCACCATATTTTTATTTTACCAAAAAACTTATTTGAGTTACTTCAATGACCTATTCTTTAAATAATACTATATTTAGTTCCAATGTATCCCTACATATCTGAAATATACCAATCATTTATAATTTTCATGTCCTAAAGATGTAAAAAATATTTTCAGAATATTTGAGATGTATTTGGCTGCATCGATTTGATACTTATTAAACCGTATCTAATGCATATTCATATTTGATACATATATTCTGGCCTTGCGAATGTATATGTGCTTCACAACTTGATGAAAAGTTATTTGGATAAAAATATAGAAGATAATTAACTTCTTGTCAAATGAAGATAGATTCATGATAAAGTGTACACTTGCTTATGATGAACTTTACATCGAACCTTAGTTTGTACAGAGTTATACAGGAACTTGCATTAGTTGCATTAGTTCTACGGCATCGAAGAAGTGCCAACGAGGTCCAGTTGTGAAGGACATACGTGATTAGATTTGTATGTGTAAATATAAAACTGTTTCGTATATGGAACAACAACATCAAATATTGCAGCAGTTAAACTGAGTTTGTACAAGTTTATTAATAATGAAAGCACTAAGTACATCATAAGACTTATATGCAGCACTTGGACACTGTTTGTGTTTTTTGCAGGAATGGAGAAGAGAGCTACAAGCATGTGTTTTTCGATTGCCCTTTTACAGCTAGGATATGGAGTGCAGTGATACAAAGAAGTGGGAAACCCTGGTACTCTACTCCTTTGCAATCCTTCATTTCAGATTCATCAAGGGATTGGAAGGGTAAGTCTCTAAAAGTGAAAATTTTGAAAGTAAGCCACAATATAACTGCTATAATCGCATGAAAATCGCAATGAGTTGTTTTTTTTTTTTTGCCACAATTCATATCAGGATAAAAGAATAGTTACATTTTCAAACCACAACCTTATTGACCTAGTTGGATCATCGTTCCCACACAAGAATAACACAATCATTCTACTGCATATCACAATCATAAAACACAATGCAACTACCAAGATAAACATTACAACTAACAGAAAAGAACAAGGGCAAAAACAGATCACCACAGCACCAAAGCAGAGTCTGGCTATGATTCAGTTCAAGGTTCTTACATCCAGCTATATTTCTCATTTTGAGGTGATGGTGCTCGAAATCAATTAGATCCAACTATAAAATAGTTTGGGGTATGGCCCTTAGAGTACATGAATGTGTGTATGATGGAAAATGTGTTACGCACTAAATGCAAGATGAAAACAACAATGTGAGTGGTTCACCCTAGCCAAAAGATTAAGGTTACTTCCACTATATTGTAGATTCTTGCTCCTTGGGAATTGTATTACGTGGGGAAGTATATTTATGTTACAAGGTATTTGGCTGGGAGCCTTTTAAAGAATATTGTCTAGGTTCAGGCTAAGTCCCCCTTCTCTGTGGCGTCGTTAGCAATTTATACATCTCATCATTAGGGTTTCGTGGTGATTCCTTTTTTGACTAATTATGTGGTCCTCCCGTCATTTGTCATGTTGTTGAGTCTGTCATTCCTAACGCTTTCTTACAACTACTACTACTCGAATGGGATATGTGAGTCATCTCTACTACCGATGGATATTCGTTCGTTAGGCTTATTAGGGACTCTCCCATGTCCACGTGTCACAGTACAACTTTTGGTGAATAGCTTGGTGTCATGCTCTCAATTCCCAAACCGGTATCTATACCGAGCTCGCCGATACCGAACGGCCACATATTCTGAGCTGGTTTGTTGCAGACTTCTATGGGGCTGGGCCACAGTCCAGCTCGAGCCCAATGAACACTGTGTAGACGAGCAGCTTAAGTCTTTTTAAATGAACCCGAAGGGTTTTAGACACTGGAAGAGGTACAGACAAAAATCCATAGTTATCATGAGGTATGCCAAAATAGATTATCCATCAGTTAAACAACTCTTATACAAGCATTCAAACTAAATCTTGCATTCTATGGTAATCTGTTGAGGCTGCGAGAAAGCCAATTGGGAGTCATCCATTAACTAATTGGATGAGACAAAGGTAGGCCCAATTCTGAAAAATGTAGGACGAGGAAACATGACAGAGGCCAGAGTACTGACATTTTTGGTCATATTGTTTGACTTTGGTAGTGTTGTAATGCAGGATTACTTTTTCGAGTTAATAGTTATGCCTCAAATCAAACATTCTACAAAGAAAAACACTCATAATCATGGCCAGAAGGAATTACTAATTATTAGTCGCCCCTACAAAAAAAAAACGTGAAATATAAAAAAAATGTAATTCAAAAAAGGTACACCACTATCGAAAAAATGGACATGAAGTGGTAACATAACACTCAAAAGTATTATTAAATAATATGCTCAGTCTGTGAATCATCTAACTTCACATTTTGTACTTACCCAAAAATAAAAAACTTCACCTTTTGTTTTTACTATACTATGATTATTGGAACTCCCACTCCTTATTGGTTACACCTAAGGCACCAATTTGTCCAAGATTTAGTTCCCCCCTTTGGATAAGGATGAATTATATCACCTAGTGACTCTTACTGTTCTAATAACCGCCACATTCAATTACTATCACATCGGATTAAATGAGATATTTGGCATTATGATTGGCTAGTGATATCACGTGTTAATAAAGGCATAACATCCCCAATTGCAATGAATACTTTTTCTACTTCCACAACAAATCTTGGGTCTTGTTGAAGTCACTGCACTATATTAATTGCTGAGTACAAAATTTTTACAGAGTTCATGACCACAAGGGCACCATTTACCTTTCTAGAATCCACAACTCATTAGCTCTCGAACAAAATTGCAGGCTGGCTGCATGTCACGCTTGAGTGATACCCTTTTTCACAAGCATATCATATACTCTATCCACCTTGTTTGGATCAAGGTTGAACATGCAATGCGCCTCGGATTTCTTGGTAATATTGCCCTTTAAAATCCCCATTGACATGGCTTCCAACAGGCTCAGATAATGTGTTGGTAGAATCTTGATTTCGCCACACAGCTGTTTTTCCTGCTCGTACAAACCACAACACACTATCGAAGATTAATATGAATATGAATCAACAAATAGTACAGAAACAGAACATCTACTAGATATGGTTTCATCTTTCTACCCCCCAACCCCAAAAATGCTATTGAAATTTAATCTGTCATAACTTAGACTAAAACTTCAAAAAAACACTTCTCTTCCAAAAGTTATTTACGGTATCATTATTGAAACCCTACTCCCATCCACAAACATCATATTGGAGTTAAACCAGTCATAAAGACACTTTGCTCATTCGTGACATTGTCAATTGGGGTCTAGACCACTATAATATCCAATAATTACCCAGAAAAGCATTGTATCAGAGTCCCAAAGAAGGAGCAAACAACTTTAGGTTGTAGACATAGAAAGTGCAAACAGCATTCTTACAGCTTCAGAGAGTAAATTAGCTCCCACAAAACCCGTGACATCCCAATTGTTTAAGGTGTTTGAAATAGCTAGTCCTGCAGTTGTTGAAGAAGAGTCCTTGCCACCATAATCTATATCTGTGACACCTCCCTGAGCACTGCTACCAAGTTCTCCTTTGAGATTATTTGCCCTCTGGAGGAATTTACCACTCAGACTAGCCTGGGAACTCTCCTTCACTCCACGGGAATTTTCTTCAGCTTCCTTCTTTCTCTTCTGCTCAATAAATCTTTCAGCCTCAGCAGATGTACAGCAGCCAGCAGCTCGAGCATCCTTCAAAATTATGGTTATCGATATACTAGCTACGGGACAAATAATATATATACACAAAAAAGTAGAGGTACACAATAAAAACGTAGTATACATTTGTAAGACAATTTTTTGGATCCCAACCAACGTAAGAAACGACATCCAACAACAGACTATAGACACCTTTGCTTGACCAAAAAAGAAAATCACGACAAATACCTCAATAAGTCAAAACAATCATATAACTGAAGGTGCTTAGGTCAGTCCCAAGGAATTTTTTCAAAGAAAGAAATCATGACCAAAAGTTTATTCATCCATTTGTGGACAACAGATTTTGGTCCCCTTATTCAAACTAGTGTTACCACCTACATGAGGACTACTAGGAAACCCAACCAGTTCTAACTCCACATTAAGGCAGTAATTCCAGTATGACCAGAATCCGTGAAATTCAAAAATTACATTATGGGCTAGGAAGGAACCAAAAAAAGAGATCGCTAAAGAACATCAGTCAGGTGACTATGACAAATAAGAATAAAAAACAATATTCAGAAGGCACGAATATGATTTTTTTCTTGTCAAGAAATCGTACATTCATAGTGTCAAATTACTGAGAGAACATGGAAAACACACAGGAAGTAAACTTCTGAGTACTAGTACAAAGACAAATATTTGGCCTAATACAGTAGGAACAGGTGATATAGTACAAATGAATAACAAGCATATGAGCAAGGCAGGGCAGACACCAGCATTAAAATTCTAGGTGAATGAGCTTGCCAGACCTTCATAAATTATTAAAAAAATCATTTTTATTTCAAATGAAATTTCAGAATTGTAGTCTCATAAATATATTGTTACCACAAGTGATAGTACAAAGTTATCTGCAGACCAATACGCGAAACACCTAAGTCTATCACAAGAAATGTTTTTTGAAGCTGAGTAATATGTTCATTAGCATTAATTGAATTTTTTACTCTTGTAGAACTAGATCGGTGGACTCTAGTTTCCACAATTGATGAAGCAGTATATAGACATGAAATATGCGAGGAAAACTGTCAGGCATGATCAAACCTGAAGATCTTGTATTCTTTTCAAAATCTGGCGCTCCTCAATTAGACTCCTCAGCAATGCTTCATGCTCCTCTTTTGAATGAAATCGCATGAACACCCTGTACCGCTGACATATTTCTCTCTCTACTGGTGAGAGGACTTTCTCTAAAGGGTCAGGGTGAAGTAAATTTCTTTCCAGTATAAAATCCTTCCGCCGTTTCCTCTCATCAAGCCTGCCGAAAATGCCCAATATGTTTGACACATGGATAAAATGAAAGAAAATGATTGGATGTGAACAGCATGACATTTACTTCCACTATTCAATATATGGTCACCAGAAGGTCCAGATAAGGCACAGTTTGTGAACCTTATCAACATACGAATGTTCAACACATACTCATTTGACAATTCTTCAATCATAAGATCCTACAAAATGGGTCGAGCCCACATAAACCTTAGACCACCTCCCAAACCCACCCAACAATACAGAGAAAGAAAACAGAATATCTGAATTTCTACGAGCTCCAACAATCATACTATTGTAAGATACAAAATGCTTTTCCAATTGCAAAGACAGCTGGTGCAAGATTGACAAACTTAAGACATTGAAGCCATTAGAATGCATACACATTGATTATTATGTGCATGGAAATATGCATTCACAAATTCCTCCTTGCGACCTACTATGTCATATATCCCTCTTAAAGCTAACGTGAACTGGTTTCCATTCTTATAGATGATTTACAGGATTTCAATCTTAAACAGGACAAAAAAGACACATGACAATCTTATGCGGCAAGCCTCTATCATTGAAAAGTGACGTAAGAAGGGAATCAGAGAAACACATGAAGGTAGTATGGGAACTCTAGCAAATCAGTAGTCCAGTACCAAACCCTCTGTCCGAGAGGCGAGCACATGGCATGGCTTGCATTAATATACAGTACACAGGCCCCGCATTATATATTATAGAGATGAATTTAAAGAGTCAGACAATCAACATCTGCATGTATAGTTAACATAAAAGGTAATCAAAGATTTTCAACTATAGGCATATTTGTTCTGGACTGCCTTGAAATTGTAGCAATCATAAAATTTGTGTTCAAACTCTTATATTAGGGCGCTGATATCCCAGGGACTAAAATAAGAATCTCCAACCAAGGTTTGGGAGTGAGTTTCCCCTTAAACACCAGTCCTCTCAGCCAGATGGCAGACCATCAGATTGTTTCATCCCACCACCTATCTACAAATTGTAAACATGGACCCTTTGATAGCCTCAGCTATATCATGATTTCTCACATATAAAAGTAACAGGAAGAAAAGGAACAGGAAAAGGAAACTACAACTGAATGAACTGATTACCTTTTTGAGTATATTCGCAAGACTCGCAGTTTCAGTCCACGTTCAGCATCAGTGTCTGTATCCTTAAATTCCATGTCCGCCAGTAACTGCTCGGCATCATTATCATATTCAATTTCAAACTCCCGCCTCTTAGAATTATAGCCACTTAATTCTGTCATAGAAGGCCCCTCATCCACTGAAGTCCTAGGTTTTTTCTCTCCAACGGTTCTGTCTGCATAAGCATCTGACAACATCATAGAGAAGACACTCATAGTCCCAACCATTAATAGTGTAAGAAGATGTGTCCCAACATCATCTAAGAAGATGACATATAGCTTCTAAACAAACTCACTACCCATAAATGTCACAAGTTGGATTCAAAGGCAGAGACGGAACCAGGATTTATTATTGGGGGGGCCAAAATCTAGTCATAGAAACTCATACCAACAACGTGGATTATGTTTATACTATTAAAATATTCAAATTCATAATTTAAAAAAAAAATAAATCAGATAAAATAATGTATATTCCATATAAATAAAGTTATTGATAAAAATGAAAATAAATATAGAAATATGGAATACTAATCTACTAAATCGATTCACAAAAACAACTTGATTCGATTCCCTTTGCTTGTTAGTTTGTTCTTCAATGCACGAATTAGTGTCTATTGAAGGGCACGAATCAATGTGCATTAAAACTCCTTGTACTTCTACCATGTACACCCCTTCTCTCTGGCAATGGTTTAAGGTTTTTAGTTTTTGATTTGTAAACAAATTAGAACTCTTCTATTACTTTATTTGGGATTGGGGCATATTAGGAAAGTACTTTTTTCTTATGGAGACTTACTAACCGAGAGTTGTATTGGTGAACAAGTTTTCCATTATTTTATTAAGATTTTTGGTAAACTTTGGATTGTAGTATTATTTTAGTACTTTCTTACTTACCAAGAAAAACTTGCAATGGGAACAAATATTATTTTATCAAGTTAAAGAATATTTTATAAAGCTTTGCAGTTGTGCAACATTTAAAGCGGCAAAATTTGAGTTTGAGTGGGGGGGCCTATGCATTGTGTGATGGGTGCTGATTTTGGAATACAGTAGACTATGCATGGGGTTATGCATAGGATAGGGGGGTCATGGTCCCCTTAGGCCCCTCTTTAGTTCCTCGGAGGATGTGGGAACTCAAAACCAATCCCTGATTCCATCAGCTTTTTGGTGGGGTAGGGCGTGGCATGTCTTTTTTCTCGTGAACCCCGCCCCTAGGCTTCGTTCCCTTCCCATTCAAATACTCACCCCTCTCTCAGATCTTCAAGAGGCTCAAACTTGAGCCAAAAAATACTGAGTATTTGAATTGGAATTTGGTTCGATTATAAGTTAGTGCATCCAAATCCAAGACGGACTAATTAAACATGGGTTATATCGAATAATGAAATTATTATGTCGTTCCACCAAAAACATAATCATAAGAACTTATATTTTTCAAATGGGATTATCGGATTGAAGTCACTCAAAATTCAGATCGTCTCAAATATAAGCAGATCGTACGATTCAATTCAGATTCAAAAACTAGCATACTGCAGTCAATCCCATAATTTTATACAAGACCGTTGTGGGAAACATGATACATTCTTTCAGTTCTTTTATAGAGGCATAATTTAATTTTCACATGTTACACATTGGAGTAGGTTCACCATTGACACCCACCCGGAAAGGGAAATGCCAATCAAAATTAAAGGATGTAAACCAGAACATAGGGAATAGAATTGGATCGCGAATGGACAAAAATTAATATTGGAGCAGCCAGATTAAAAAATAAACCCAAATAAAAAAGTCGATGCACAACCAAATTTATGGCACTCAAAAAAATGAGTCCTACAATATTTTTCGGCTTAAAATTGCAATCCATAAGCAGATAATACCTTCCGCTTTGACACCATCATGACAATCCTTATTCTGTACCATGCTGGATGCTCCTTTAACTGCACCAATGGAGGTGTTACTGCTGCTATAACCTGCACTGGCACCTACCTCTGATGTAAAAATGGAAAATATGTTAAGAAAGCTCTATGCATATAATTCCTTTTATGGGGCAGAGATAGCTTGACAAGCACAAACATTTCTCAAAAAAAATAAATAAATAAAATACTGGTTGTCATATACCAGAAATTAAGCTAGATGAGGATTGACATGCAGGTCCTTCTTTGCTTCCATCTTCAACCCTGACCAACCAAGTTCAAAAGTGTGAGCTAAAGTATATCAAAGAGCCACATTGAAAAAAATAATAGAATGGAAAAGCTAGTCATACTTGATTCTTGCGGAGACTGAAGGCTCTTCTTTCACAGCAAGTTCTCCAAGGGTTGGAAATCCTGAGGAAATTCCAGTGCAATGTAACATGAGAGCATACATTTGTACACGTGTTCACACACAAAAAGATAGCATACAGACGTCGAATCAGAGTAATAAAATGTCATAAGAGAAATAAACAGATATCTTTTTTCAAATAAAGTAAAACCAAGCTACTACTGGTGAAGTGAAAGAAACATGATAACATCTATCATTTGCATTTGGCTAAAAGCAGACAGCCATTTGCATGAACTATCTTGATGAGCCACATTTATTACAGAATTAATAACAAACTAATCACTCAGGTAATCCGTGACTACTCACCTTTTTTGGCTTCACCATGCCCTCTAGCCATAGCCAGGAGTTCCTCTCTATTTTTTCCCATAACATGAGACATGTCCTAAAGAAACACAGCATGAGCAATATAGCTAAAGAAACCACTTCATATTGAGACCTTTAAAAAGACAAAAGAAGGAAGTCATACTGGAACAGGAAAGCACGGTGAGTTCATGTATATATAATTATAGTGGTCGATACATTGCGATCTAACTTTTGTCCCAACATGCTCTGAAACTTCACTCCAGTTTCCCAGTCCATACATTTCAATTCCCTACAGAAAGGAAGTAAAAATATCAGGAAAGCTTCCAGAGAGTCAGAAACATGCCATACTCAACCCAAACGACATGCAGATTAACAAGGAATATCTACAGGAACAATAAGTAGATAAATTATATATAATACATTTGAGAATCTCAACTTCAATACTTTGATTATATAGGAATACCTCCAGGAGTAATATCTCCTCATCTGCATTCCATTCGGGACAAATGAGCGGGAATGACAAATTATCCTGTGCAAAGCAAAAGCCTTTGAAGAATATCACAAGTATAACTAAGGCAATACTGACAATTGAGTTACATCATAAAAGGCTTATAAGCTGTAGAAAAAGTAACAAAGCAAATGAAGTAAATTATTGACAATTACATGATTAAGAGGGAGTAAAGTTTGTCATATGGGAGCAATATGCAGATTAAAAATCGAGTCAAAGCCTAATCCTTACAGTTGGCTCAACAGACATGCACGCAATTCCCTTCTATAAAGTTGTATCTCAGAATCTGCCATTAAGTGGTTATGTATCTTCTTACAAATTTGACTTGTCCTTGAAGTGCATGAACAAAATCCACATCACAAAATCCACAGTGCGGAGACAGTCTATACTTCATCCAATTGAATTTCTCAGAAAATTCCTAATCTTGCCATTATCAATAATAGCTACCTAACCAGATGAATTCATTAATGTTGCGGTCTCTTGTCTTTCCAGTCTTCCATGTCAGATTCCTCACTTAATTTCTATGTATGACCAAATTGGTGGCAAAAGTTGAAGTTAATTCCAAATTGGAAAAACAAAAGCCATTACCCAGTTTAGTTCCCCCTTATGGAGGCAGCTGAAAGGAGCAAAAATTGACTCAACCATTTATAATATTTGCACAAAAGGAACCTGCATCCTCAAGTCCCACTAACTACCTCACTCTAGCCATCATATATATACTTTTCATGTATAGCAATGGATCTAGCCATCATATATCACGCGACCAAACGTTTAGGTGCTTGTCATAAATAGAAATTAGACCAGTAAAAGTAAAATGAAATAAGGAAAAGGGAGGGCAATAAATGCAAACATGGTGACTTGTATGGTGGCCACTTAACTCTGACCATACTAGACAAAAGATATAGAACTGATTTTTTCCAGGAAAAAGAAAATAGAGTATATGTTTGAATGAGGATACTAACCATAACTCTATATGGATGATTGCTTTTGTGGGGATGAATCTCAGCTCCAACAGAGAAGCACTCCACACAAAGGTCAAAATCAGAACACATTGCACACTTAATACGTATCTTTCCTGAGATATCTTTGTTGCAATAATTGCAGTGGTATAAAGCCTTTCTCCCTTCACTCATCCCTTGACCTACCATAAATGTAAG